GACAATGAGACAACGGGGCGATACAGTCTTCCAACGCCGAAAAAAATTCCTGAAATGAGATCGGAGGACGAACAAAATAAAAAGTTTCTTTCCTCAGTGACACCACAGAAGAACACGACTCGAAAGAACAATTAGACATGAGGCCAACTTTCCGAAGCACTTTTTCGAAAATGCTCGACTGAGACTCGCTCTTCCAATATTTACATTTTTCTCGTATTGTATACAGTAAAATTCCGTTATATCGAGTTTCGGAATGACGAATTTTTTGTTATGACGAATTTGTCTTGGTCCCGACAGTTTCTTCAAAGGTACAATGTTACAGAAATTTTAGTACAACGAACAAAATTTATTTTATAATCTCAGCACTGCATAACACATTTTTGCTTTGATTATGTGTGCGTGGGTCACAGACAATTCTACTAAATGGGAAAGTAGAATACCCAACTTGCGCATTATTGAAAACCTTCAAAACTAGATACACTAATGATTTTGCACATAAACTTTAGCATAACAGGAAGTATAAAGCTCAAATCTTAATTTATTTAGCTTCATTTTAGGATTCAAAAATGGCTAATTTCTTTAAATAAAAGCATGATTGGAAGGATACTGCTTAATTTTAGGGAACATACAACAATTCTTAATGAATAAATCCTCTTATCAAGCATGTATTTTCTGTTTTATTCCGCTGTTACTTTAGTTAGATTGCAATATTTTTTGAAAATTCAAGAAAGGAAGGTTCTGAAATGAGAACATTGTATTTCACGTTTTGAATTCTCTCCATTATTCCATTAAAAGACGTTTTATACTTCGGCAATGATTCACACATCTGTTGTGCAAGTACAGTAATTTAAGGCATACATTACCTGTTTCCAACAATACAGTGAGACCCCAATATGCGGATACCGGACATCATCTCAATTTGGGACACTTTTCTGGAATTTCCCAAAAAATCAAAACATTTTAATTCCAATATCTTTTGAACAAATCAAGCAATTTATATTCAAAAAATTTTTTAAAAAGTACTTCATGATAAATTCACTCTAATTTATAATCAGAAGCAAGCTGATTTTGTGCTCCTTTTTTTTAGTTTTTTCTATCATTTGTGCATATTCTAGCAAGACTTATTATTTTTTATTTGCTTTTGTACCTCTTTTTGATACCAGAAAATCAGATTCTATGTGCTTTTGTTCAGCACTGTTGTTTTCCACAGCTCAGAATTGAGGAAAACAATTTTCATCAATTTTTTGAGGACTTATTTCTAATTTTTGACAAAACGGAGAACCAATAAAATACATTAGCCATTGAAGTCTAAAGGAAAATAAGACTCAACTTGGAGAAATTCCAACATCAGGACACTCTTGATGCACCACTTATGTCCGCATCTTGGGGTCTCACTGTCAAATAGCTCTCGTTATAAGGAATTTTTTTCCGGTCCCTGAGAGTTCGCTGTATAGTGTATACTCACATGAATTCTATGGGGATTAGTTTCACAGCTCAACACGTCGTCGAAATAGATGGGAATTATCACACGGTGCCAATAAAGGAACGAGCCATCACACGCTTTCTCCAAAGACGATCCCAGGTCACAGAGAAACTCCATTTTCCTCAAATTTTTCTCCAATGCTTGAAACTCTCCTTCCGTTAGCGTTTTCGCTGAAAACGTTGAACATCGCGATCATATTACTGTACCATCAGCCGAATTACAATTGATAAAAGACATACAGCAACGCGCAAAGGCCATCGCAATGATCGCCACCAGCCGTTTAACTTTTGTCACAGGACCATTCAAGGCGTGTTCAGTCAATACCAATGCAGTCAATATATCTGAACGTCTGGAGCTCGGTTTCTCATTCAGCAACCGTTTCTGCAATCCAAACAGAAAAAAAAGTTGTGTTTGACGAAGATTTTCGAAAGACTACTTACGCAACGAAGATGAAAAAGGTAAGAAAGAGGAATTTTACGTGCCATATTTTTAAACCATTGCAAGAATTGTACAGCACTTTGAAAACTCAGCGTCGAGCAATTCTCTTCTGAAATAATGCTCCAATTTTATGTAACACCTGCATGGCTACAGGTAGACTCTCTCCATAACGAAATTCAAGGAACTAGAAAAGATTCGTTGTAGAGAGGATTTTTCGTTGAAAACCCCTACAACATAGGGAGAGAAATCCATCAGACTAAAAAAAGTCGTCATGCAAAGAAATTCGCTGTAGACAAAATTGTCTTAAGAGAGCCCAAACGTACAACTGCGATGGCCAATGAGAATTGCATTTAGACTTCACCGTGTTTTTTTCCCTTAGAAGTACGTATTCAATTTAAACTACTCCCTCCTGCAATCTTGATTCTTGAATGATGGAAAATATATTCATTGCCTTTCACAGCAAGATCCAGTCACTTTGGGTAGAAATCGCACGGGAAAGAACGGTTTTAACGATTGAATTCATCCCAAAAGCTGCCGTAGGAAAGAAGGGAGTAAGACAACTCCCTAAAATCACTTGAAATTACTGTCGTTTAACGACCATGACATTCCGCAAAAATTTATAGAAATTTGCGAGTCCGCAAAAAACTTCATGGAAATTTTCCGGTCCGCGGGCCTAAAAAGCTTGTGGAACACTGTTACATGATAGTCAATATAGGGCCTATCCACAACAATTTTTTCTAGTCCCTTCAATTTCTTGGTAGAAAGAGCCCACCTGTGCTGTATCTCATGCTTCAAAAATCCGTCGTTTTATTTTTATCCACTGGTTCACCATACCTTGACTCCAGCCAACGTCGTCAGGGCAACAAAAGACAGGTGTTGCATGACGTAACCAGTGATCTCTGCCACCAGCATCCCGTGTCGATGATAAGTAGCTCTGATAGACTGCAGCAATTCGATCAATCTGCACACGCAAGCGATATCAACCTTGCTCATAGGCTTGACGAAACGGGCGTGAACGTTCAAAATCAACTTGGCAGTGAACGAGAGCCGATGCGCGTACAGAATTCCCTTTGAACAAAAATATAAACTCCCGTTCCGATACGAAATATACACGAGTATAATGCGAGAAATTGAGAGTACCTGGATGAATAAATTTGCAAATCGCTTCATGTCCTCGATCCGAAGTTTTGAGGGTTCCAGCTTGGAGAGTTCTTCGAACTTGGCCGTCCAAGTGCACACCTAAAATGGTGAGAAAATACGAACAGTCAACAGCTGACACAGGAAATGGATCCGTGTTTTTCTTGTTCAAGCTGTCTCTGCAATCGTGGACAACCCGAAGTCAAGGCGCAACAAATTCCTAGGTTCGATCATGTCAAGTTTATCAAAAACGACACAGAATACTGTATTTCACAAAAAAGTTAGTGAAGCCTAACCTGAACGCCATAAGCAACTTCATCTCGGCCAATCGATGCGGTTTTCTGCTGCACATAATTGCTCCGAAACGCAGCAGAACTGGACATCGCCCTTCTGTCGATCACACTTGCAAACCCTCCGAGGTGTTGAACAAAGAAGTCATCCAGTATCCATACGTGCTGTGCGTGGAGGAGAACCACTGGAATCTTTCAAATAAACCATAAATGAAAATCAAGTTTTTAATAAACAAAGAGAAAAACAATCTCAGTTCTCCGTACTACATCCTTCCACTTTTGCTTTTTGGGATGTCGGGCAGGTGGCACATACTTTACATCTTAACTAAGATTATCAAACGAAACCCAAACCAAACTAAGAATGACTGAAACCAACGAACCGGACAAACCCTAACCCAACATCTTCTGACTGAAGTAAGGTACAGCAAAATTTAAGCGAAATTCTGTCTCACAAAACCCCTGAGGGCTCCGAAATTGGGGAAAACACAAAACTCGACCAACACTTTTTCTCGAACTTCAAGGGACCAGCAAAAAACAATTACACTAAAAAAATTGTTATCAGTTATGACGT